TTCACCCTCTAACACTAGCATTCTCTATATTATTTCTATTCTATCTACTTGTTTTCTTTTTCTTTTTTAACTTGACCCTCTAACACCAGCACTCTCTATTCTATTTCTATTCTATCTACTTGTTTTCTTTCTATTTAAAAATACTTGACCCTTTAACACTAGCATTCTCTATTCTATTTCTATCATATATACTTGTTTTCTTTTTATTTAAAAACGTGACCCTCTAACACTGGCATTCTCTATTATATTTCTATTCAATCTACTTGCTTTCTTTTTATTAAAAAAACTTGACCATGTAACATTATCATTCCCTATTCTATTTCTATTCTATCTACTTGTTTAATTTTTATTTATTATAAAAAAATAACTTGACCCACTAACTCTAGCTCTCTCTATTCTATTTCTATTCTATCTACATTTCATTTTTAAATTTATTATTTAAAAAAAAACATGCTATGTGTACTGCATTCGACTAACCAGAACTTGTCACGGCCCTAGCATATTGTTGCTCTTTTGTTATTTTGATTGCTTCTCATTTGTTTTACCATTAAATTCAGCTGAAAAAAACGAATAACAGGTTATTGAATGGGTTTAGGGTGCACACTACAACACTGGCACGCCCTGGGCAAGCATGTCTCTTGGTATTAGCGGAGTGCAGTAAGGCCATGCATTCTCTCTATTACACGACTTCCAGGCTTGTAATTAAGTGGGACATAGCAAAACAGCCGGCAGCATGAAGGGAGGCTGACCTGGAAACCACGCTGTGTCCAACGGATGATGCAAAACACAAACAAACAAAAAAACACGAGAACATGATGTTTCAGTAATTAGTTTCAAGCAGCATGTCTTTAGATTAAAAACAATGGATTATGCAGCAATAACTCTAATAAATGTACAGAAGTGTAAGCCAGAGGTGAAGAAGATGGCCTTTGCCGAATGAAAACATGCTTTGAATAGCCCTATCCATCACCCTGCTGAGACGACGCCACCTCCTTTATTTCTCGTTCAATTACATGAGGATGAAGAGACCTCACTGCCGTTATTGTTCAGATAATGGTTGTTGGGAAAAAGAGGTCAAATCAATAGTTATAGCCCAATGTCCTTTTCAAAGGCTGCAATGTATAGGGATCTCCTAAAGCTGAATGTCATGTTAAAGTTTTTCTTTTAGTATGAGTTCTCCACTTGGACTTGAAGTGAAAATATCATACATTATATGATTTATAATTACGTAATGCATTAAAGTGGTTATGTCACAATTTGATTAATATATTTTCATAGTTGAATATACAGTACATTGAGTACTGATCTGTTAAACAATGCCATTCAAAGTTTGGAACAAGATTTTTCTCATCTTTTTGAAGGGTCTAATGATCGCCAAGGCTGCATATATTTGATCAACAACACAGTAAATACAAAAATATTGTAAAATAATTTAAAATAACTCTTTTGTATCTGAGTAAAATGTTAATAAAATTTCAAATGTAATTCTAAGTTGAATTTCAGCAGACATTTCTCCAGTCTTTAGTGTCACATGATCCTTTAGATGTTTCCTTATTTCCTTATTATTATCAATACTGAAAACTTTTTTTAAAGATTTATTTTAAGAATAGAAAGTTCAAAAGAACAGCATTTATATAAAACAATTAAAAAAAACATTTAATGCATTTGTTATGCTTTTTTTTTTTTGCTGAATATAAGCAAAGAAAACAATCTCACAGTCATTTTTTTATGTGTCATACATTATTTATATAATTCACCTGGTGACACTAGTGGCGCATACATTACATACTTTACCTTATGTTAAGTAACTTATTATATAAGTTATTATAAAGTACTCCCCAAAATAATTAACTACATTTATGCCCTTCCGCTATAAAAGCAAATCAACTTGCCTTTCATATGACTTCCAGTTCATATGTTAATTCTATCAATAAAAATCCTTTGCAGTGGCCAGTTAGAAGCTTTAAAAGCTTATTCTTCACCCAAAAAAAGAACACCAGATATCTAAATGAAAGCTTTTATAGAGTTAAAAGGTAAAGAGGGAAAATAACAGAGTCCATAAAGGATGAAACCACAGATTCCACATACACTGATGCTGGCCATCAGTGCAGAACAGATCAACACTGCTCAAGACAGAGTCCTCTACAAGCAGAACGAGACTAAAAATCCAACGTAACAACTGAATCCAATATCATGCCATTTTACCAACCTAAGGCTTAATCTGTGAAAACAGATCATTAAGCAGATCAACTCTGTCATTTTTGATCCACTATCAACAATATAAAAAATAATCCAAAAACTCTAAGAAACCCCTTAAGCCCCACTCCTCTCTGTTATTGGTCACATCAAACGGCAGTCCTTCCCCAAACTCACACTATTGGTCGATACCTTAAATAAATCAATGACAGCTTTGATGTTTATAGTCAACATATAGTATGCACACTTATAGCCCAAAGTATTCCATCATGGAAAAATTATGCAAATTTATTGAGAAAAAAAAATACAAATATATATATATATATATATATATATATATATATATATATATATATAAAGAGTTCTACAAAAACAAAATCAAAGTCAACATGAAATGGAATCTGCAGAGCGATTTTACTTTTTTAATTGAGACTCAAAAAGATTGTCCAAAAAGAAAGAAAAAGAGAAAATTGTTTACTAAAAATAATTAAGACTAAAAAAAATTATTTGGAATAATGTGAATGATTTGTGCACAAAAAGACGAGGAAAGCAAATTAAAACTGAAAGCAAAGAAAATTTATCTAATTTAATTAATTATTAGGCTGAGATGGTAGAAAATACTGCAGAGGTGACAAACCCTGTCTGAACTATGCAACACTGACTTTGCAACCGTCAGGTCCAGGCAGGCTGAACAGGCACGTCTGGAGGAAATGACCCTTAACTTACTGTGACTGGCAGAACCCAGTCAGGTACAGAGGCTGCCACAGCATCCGTAAAGCAGTATGTGTGTGTCACATCCAACTCACACACCTTGGTGCCGTGAAGCTGATGCTCTCCCTCCCAGGATAATATGCTGCTCTAATGAGGCATAAAATCTCCGGACAAGCAAGGCCATTTTTGCCTGCTAACACCACAGCAACACAGAAGCATAAGGCTGATGGTGAGCTGTGGAGAAATTTTTGGTGTGGTTGCTATGATATCCGCAGTCCTGTAGAGTGACTCAACAAATTCCCATGTAAGAGACGGTGCTCTTGAGATTCTCTTTTGGGTGAATGAGAATACTTTCCCACACAAATGGAGAATTAAGGAAGTCGAGGCGCATTTTAGATCAATATAGATATAGTTCACTCAGAAATGAACATTCTGGGAAATGAACATCTTATCATTTCAAACCTGTAAGAGATTCTTTCTTCTGTAGAAGTCACATTTTTGCAGAATAGTCTTTTTTAATGCAATAAAAGTAAATGGAACCATAAATGCCCCATAAAAGTACCACAAAAGTGTCTAATGACTAATGGCACCACATTTGATTTCAATGCAACAACGAAGTGGAAAATTATCAACCAAGAGCGGCGTAAATTTCACAGAGCTATCGCATGGCTTCAGAAGGTGTAATATAGCTGCATGAGTCATATGGAATTTTTAATAATACTTTTATGGTACTTTTCTGTCAGTTTTTGGCACTTAACAAGCCTAGTCCCCGTTTACTTTTTATTACATGGAAAAGAGCAGCCAGGATGTCCACCATAAGGGTTTGGAATGAGATGAGGATGAGTAGGCTAAATAATAAATGAAATGTTTGCCATTTTGACACATTTGTTGAAAGGTACAGCAGGGTGATGACAGGAAATAATGGTTTGACTAACAGAAGCCGAATTCAAACTCACATCGCTAACCGTCAAGTCAAAGATTAACAGAGGTTGCTCTTTTATAGCTCAAATCTCAGTTATGCTTAATTTAACTACCAACTTTCTCTCAGAAGATTCTCCTAAAGTTTCCTAATGGATAAATGAAAAAAAAATTTGACAATTGTTGACATACAATAAGAGTAGGCCTATAAAGCAATACATGTGAATTGAATGCCTTGAGAATCTGCTTTGAAATCTGAACATAGTTTTAGATCTCAAACTAGGGCAAACAAATGCAAAAAATCACGAAAAAGAATCTGAGAAGCACTGAGTCCTCAGCAAGCCTCCATTTGTGGTTAATTTAACCTATTTTCACAAGGAAAAAAATGTTTGGGTTTGTAAAGAAGTGAGGTTGACAGATATTGCTTAGATTTCCACAGTGGCAAAGTTAGTGGCCAGTCCTCCTGAATAACACCTACTCAAATGCAGTCGCAATTTTATCTAAACTCTCTGTTCGCTTCTGTGTGCATTCCTACAAGCTCGTATACAAGCAGCGCACACTGACCTGAGACTGGGACATAAACTGCTGCGTGTAGGTCACTGTACTCAAGTCACATCAAAACAACATATGGACCCAGCATCCCGGAGCCAGATATTTCTTCTCTTGACAACCTGAACGGCACGCAGGGAGCCGAATATTTCACAAGCATCTCTCGCAATTTAGACTGAGGCCAGACCATTTATCCTGTGAGTAATCCAATTCATTCCTCACTCTGTGATCCCTGTTCATTGGGGAGAAGGATGACTCAGACATTTTAGCACTACAATAAGTGACTCTAAACAATCCTAATAGAGATGAATAGAGAAGCAAAACGTTCGGAGAATTACGTGATGAATGTTGTAGGAGATACAGAAAGCTGTGAATCGAGGCATTATGCTGTGTAAAACTGACAAGGGGAGATCTGTTGATCAACTTGATGGCACAAAATCTACATTTTTATGCACTTTACAATCACGTAGTGATGTACTGTAAATGGCACATCATAAAGGACGTGATGACAGCTGTCAATATAATGGTGGATTCAGGTGTTTGATGAATAAAAAACAATAAGGCAACAAACAGGAATCTGTTAGATACTATAAACTGCAATGCAAACCTAAACGGTTCCACCTTACCTATCATTCTCCGTGCTCTTGAAGCCCGGTAAGATGTTCCTGAAGCTGCTGTGGCGGTCGAGCTTTGGCTGGCTTTTGGTGCGTTTGATGGAACCCTTCAGTCTGCGGCTCAGGAAGCCCTGGACAGGAAGTCAGAGGAAAGGACTGGATTACACTCAGAGATTCATCAAGCACTGGAGCAGCTGCATGTGAAAACCGGCGCTTGGCTTTTTCCCTTCTACTTGTTCTTTCCTCTCATCCATAGCGTTTGGTTGCGCCGTGCATAGCTGCGTGATTGGTGCGGCACACACATCTGCTCGCAGTGCTGGGCTGAGGAGCTTCACTGATGTGATACTCCCCTCAAAGCCGCTGTTACTATGGAAACTGTTTGCTGGCATGGAAAGGGGCTGGGGGGGGGGAGAGAGATACTGGTGCACTGCAAGTTCATAGGGGAGAGCTGAGCTGGTGCTTTTCAGACAGTCTACAGATTAGGACAAGATTAAAAGGACTTGAATTATTCCTGAAAATCCAAAGTCTGTCTGAGTGGAATGCTTGAAACACTGAGAAGGGAAAATTTCTCTCATTTCTCAGGCATGTAGATGCAATTAATGGGTGGGAAATGTGAATCGAGGCCTCATGCATGAAGTGAATGAATGGCTGATTGACCTTAATAAGCCACTTAGTGCCTGTTGTTGCACAACAACCGATTAAGGGGCTAACAGGAACAAACAAAGTCACAAAGAATGGCACAAATTCTGCTGAAAGGAATAGTATAGTTAGTATAGTATAGCTACTAAGGGTATACATGACACCTTCCGAATTTTGAGTAATATATATATATATATATATATATATATATATATATATATATATATATATATATATATATATACAGTATATACACAGTAT